AGTCATTATTTACCCAGGTTAATGATGAACTCAAAGCAAACACCACGGAGCACTGGGCTTCTTCTTGCCAAATATCACAACCCTGGGTGCTCTGGAAAGGATCCTTCCAGGAGCTGCATCCGGCTGGCTGCCAATCCCAGCCCCGGCCCACGCTCCCCGCTCCGCCTCTCCAGCTGCCCTCACCTCGATGGAGCTGGCGATGTTGAGGCATTCCTCCATGCCAGGGATCTCCAGCTGCAGCACCTTCAGGTCTTTGCACTTGAGGGTGATTGTGCCCAAGGAGTTGACAACCCTGTGGGGAGATGCCGGGCAGGAGCGGCGTGTCAGACCCTAGGTCCTTGCCTCTGGGATCCACCCCCTCCAGCAGCCCAAGGTGGTGCCCAGCTGCTGCCCATGTGTCGGCGCGTGGGGGCACATGTATGTGAGAAGAGAACTTGAGAACACGGGTAAGACTGTGTCTCGTGGCCGCTGCTGGGGGCATTCAGCCCGGCCTGGGAGATGCGTTGGAGGGGGCGAACAGGCCGACTGTAAGGAGCGTGGGGTAGCTACATGCTATTCCCTGCGTCCCCAGGGGGTAAAGGACGGGGGGAGATCCAGTCGCTGGGGCAGCTCCGGCACATCGTCCCCCCGACACCAGAGGAAAGCTGGCTCGTCCCAGAAAGCTCAGAGGAGGCACCGTTCACTCTGAGCATCGGTCCCCTCCTTCGCCCCTACGTCCTCCCCACCGCTCTGCGGAGAGGATGCTAGAGCAAGCGCTGCAGACTCAGGGCCCTGAGCAGGAAGCGGGTGGCCGGTTAGTGCAAAGCCAGGCGTTTGAAGGAGAGTTAGAGGATCAATGCCGGGGTAACGGCCAAACCTGGTCTCTTGCTGGGAGCGGTTAGTCCTGGAGGGCTGGTACCAGCCTAGGTTCTGAACACTGAGTCACGGAAAAGAAGAAAGGTTATTCCCAGGCCGGGGGGTTGGCTGCACCCTCTGGCTGGCCCCCAGGGCAGAGGAGAGGATGGAAAAAGAGGCGAGAGCCCTGTTCTGACCCCTAACCAGCTGCTTCCCCCCGCTGGACTCAGAGGTCCACCGGGCAGGCTGCTCAGCAAAGGAGGCTGCAGGCAAAGTTCGGCGTCTCGCCCCAGGCCCTGTGGGATGCAGAGCTGGCGAGAGCCATTCGGCTGTTCTCTGGGCCACCCCCCGGCGGAAGGGCACTGAGCGGGCTGGGGGGGGGCGGAATATGTGAATGCTGAACAATGTAAACAAGAGACAGACCCTGCCCCCCAGATCTGGGGGGGCACGAGCCACGGGACTCCCACTGAACAGGCCACGCCGGCTCGGCCCAGCCACAGATTCTAGCCTGTTTCAGATGCCCGCGCCGCCGGAGGGACCCCAGGGAGCGGGCAGGGGGCACTGACCTTTTCTCCACCGCGTCCACGTTCCGGATGAGAAGCCAAAGCTCCTCCGCACCCGGCTCCCCGTGGCCCCCGGGCTGGGACGACAGCAGCAGGTGATGGCTGGTGACGCACAGCGTCCCCTTGACTGGCGGGGGCCTGGGGCAGGACAGCTGCACGTGCTCCACCGTGGCGGTCTTGATCAGCTCTGCAAACTCCATGGCGGCGGCAGCGGGGCACCTGGACAGAGAGAGCCCCCACGGGGCCTTTTCCACAGGGCTGATGGGCCACAGGGACCGGGCCGAGACCTCGGCCAGCACCGACAGCGACTCAGGGAGATGGGGGACCGGCTGGGGGAGGTGCGGAGCATCCTCCTTCCCACCCTGCTCCTACAGGTCCGTGCACCCCAATTTGCCCCGCACTCCCAGGCCAACCCAGGGCCACCCCCTGCCATCTTCTCTCCATTGCTTTATTTGACCTCCCCTTTTAAACGACCCCCCTTAATCCCCGCTTGAGGCACAAGGAACCTTCCTTCTGCAAAGCCCTGGTGGAGCTGTACCTAGCTCAGCCCTGGGAGGTGGGTCAGTTTCATCCGCTCCACTTTACAGGTGGGGAAACTGAGGCACCGAGCGGCGAGGTGGCCTGCTCAAGGACTCGGATGGAGCCGGGGCGGCTTGTGGGGAGGAATTCCCAGTGCCCGGGCCTGCGCTCAAGCAACTGACCTTCTGTCTCTCCTTGTGTCTGTTTACATGGAGGGTGGTCCAGCCCTATGGGTCACCCCCAGAGCTATTGTGTGCAGGGTTATTATTGAAACCAGATATTTTTAGCTGCAGGGGAAAATCCAGCCACCACCCAGCAAGGAGCTATTGTTGTTTCGGGCGTGTAGCATGGAAGGGCCTCTGGCAGGGCCCCACTGCGCTAGGGGCTGTACAAACCCAGCCCTGCCCCCAAAGAGCTTCCCAGCCATAAGCCATCCCTACAGGGGGAGTGGTTTGCCCTGCTGTGGGCCCCCTCCCTCTAGCCCCAGGCGTGCTGGGCTCCAGAAAAACCACCTTTTTCTAAAGCCAGGAGCCTCTTCAGAGCGGCTCCCCTCGTACAGGCTCAGGGCAAGGGCCGGCTCAGGCCACATCTGGGAGCAAGCGATTCATCCCCCAACATCTGGCCACCGCGCTTACCTGGGACTGGCCTGGCTGCAGCCGGAGAGCTGGCTCAGCACAGGGATGCCAGGGCAGACCCTGCTCAGTGGGTGCCGGTGCCCAGAGCCCTGGGAGCCAGGCAGCTAGGGGACTCCGTGGCTGGGGAAGCCAAGCCCCGGGGCTCAGGCCACATCTGGGAGCAAGCGATTCATCCCCCAACATCTGGCCACCGCGCTTACCTGGGACTGGCCTGGCTGCAGCCGGAGAGCTGGCTCAGCACAGGGATGCCAGGGCAGACCCTGCTCAGTGGGTGCCGGTGCCCAGAGCCCTGGGAGCCAGGCAGCTAGGGGACTCCGTGGCTGGGGAAGCCAAGCCCCGGCGGGCTGGGGAGCGGCGCGGAGACGGGCCCAGAGGCTCTGGCAGCGGGCGGGTGGCACCTGGCGGCCACGGTGGCTTCGGAGCAGCTGGGGAGACGCGCCGCATGTTCTGAGGCAGGTTGTGAGAGGCAGCAACAGGAGCTGAGAGCTGCCTGCCCTGTGGGTGAGGCCCAGAGGCGGAGAGGCAGAGGATGTCGCCTTAAGGTGGCCTGGCTCCCGCGCTTGGTTTCCTTTCTCGGGGGAGGCCTGGGCAGAGGAAATGAGCCCAGGTTTGGTGAATCAGGGCTGGAAGCTTTTCGCAGGGGACGGATCCAGCCCGGGGAGGAGGGGGTGGCGGAGGCCGTGGAGTGACTTTGCAGAGCCTCAAATTAGTGGGCAGGGGAGACCAGGGGAACTTCCCGCTGGAGGCTCCCAGCTCCGGGCATCCTGGGAGGGCTACGGAATTAAAGCCGGAAGGGGGCCCGAGACTCTCGTCTTGCAAGCGGGACCTCGCAGCCCGGGAGGGCGTTGGGGAGACAGAGGATTTTCCTTTGGGAGAGGGCCGCATGGGTGGCAGTGATCCCTGCAAGCTAAGCGCTTGGGTGGCCACCCAGGAGAGAGTCAAGGGCTGCCCAGCTGAATAGCAGAGGCGGCAGCCTGTGTGTCTACTGGTGGTGCACATCTGCACATGCCTCGGTGCATATAACAAAATTTACTCCGCACATGGATGGGAAACTTTAGAGGGAACATTGGTGGCCGGGAGGGCAGGGCTGATAAAAATATGCCTGGAGACTAGTAAACAATTCCCCACAGACACTGCAGGCTCTACCTAGCCCCAGCTCCATCCTCCTGCTAACAGGGCCCTGCTAAGACCCCTCTCTGCAATCTCTGTTATGCAGAATACCCCAGCCTCGCTGCCCGGAGCTAGCTCTTTAATCTCTATTACCCAGAAGTCTCTAGGCCCCTGCTACCCAAATTTCCTGTTACCCAAATACCCCATGTCTCTTTCACTGCCACAGGCTGGGCTTTTTCTACTTGTCACCCTGTGTGTATGGTCCTTGTGTTTCCTGTCTGCGCTAGGAAATGCTGTATTCTCCCCCCCGCCCCATGTTCTCCAGGGTTCCACCTTAAATGCAGCCCAGCTGTGCAGAAGCAAATAAGCCACTGGTTAAAGTGACCTGGCCAGATGCCCTGAGCACAGCTGGGGAGCCGGTGACCAATGAGAGCCCTCAAAGGGCGGGATTTGTAAGTCTAGGAGGCCCTGTAGCTGGGGTCCTCCCGGGATTCTCCTCCCCCCCACCCCCAGCAGCAAACCCACCCAGAGCTCTCACGGGAATATCAGCCATGTGGCTACGGGCACAGAGCAGCTTCATGCTGCCTGCAGGGGTCCTTCTCCCAAGGCATTCCACAGACTGGATCCTGCCCCGCTCCATCATGCCTGGCGTGCCCAAGGCATTCCACAGGGATGCTGAACAACCCCACCCCCTGCAGTGAACTCCAATGTTTCGTGGGGACTTTGCACCAGCCGCTCCTTCCGCTAACCCAGCGCACAGTCAACCTGTGGAACTCCTTGCCACAGGATGCAGTGAAGGCCAGGACTTTAACAGGGTCCAAAAAGAGCTAAATAAATTCATGGAGGTTAGGCCCATCAATGGCGATTAGCCAGGATGGGTGGCCCTGGCCTCTGTCAGATGCCGGGAAGGGGCGACAGGGAAGGGATCACTTGATGATTCTCTGTTGGGTTCCCTCCCTCTGGGGCATCTGGCACTGGCCACTGTCGGCCGACAGGCCGCTGGGCGAGATGGCCCTTTGGTCGGACCCCGTCTGGCCCTGCTTACGTTCTCAAACTTTTGTTCTGTTTTCGCGTAGCAACTCTGAGTGTTAATCGTTTAACCGGCTACACGATCATGTCCCTGTTTAATATATTTAATCCCTTTATACATGTGGGAGGCAAAGTGAGGTTGGGGGGAGGTTGATAGTTCATGACCCCCCCAAGGGGTCGTGACCCCCCCCCCCAGTTTGAGACCCCCTGCTCTGTCCTCTCCTCTCCTCTCCTCTCCTGCATGGTCTGCCCCTACACTGTTCGATCCACCCTGTACGCTGTGGAGGTGCCTGGGGGTGGGGCAGGAAGAGCCAGGAACAGAGCGAAGCTTTTTTTCCTCTCTTTTTTTTGGCTCTATAACAGCTCTGAATCTCAAGTGACCTTTCAGCCTCCCTTGAGCGCAGCGCTGGGTGGAGAATCAGTGTCATTTCGGTACCAATAATAGACGGGGAAGGAAAGGCGCATCTGCGGGATAAATTACTTTTCACTCCTCCGGTTCTTGATGTCCCCATTGAAACTTCCTTTCAAAGAACAGGGTGTCTCCTCCCCACAGGAGAGACAATAACAAATTGAGAAAACACCTCCCCAGGCCTCCGGGCAATTAAAGTTCCTGCTCGCTCAGAATCATCGCAGGCGTGCCAAGGTTTTATTGTGCGCTCCAGAAATAAATAGCTCCCGTGCTCACACGCACACACGCAGAGCAAGCCAGCTCTGCCACGGGCAGGGCGCCACACCCGTCGCTGGCCTCCCCAGCCATGTCCTTCAGCCACCTGAAGTTCAAGGAGCTGGGGGAAGAGGAGGCGAACGCGGACAAGGAGACCCTGGACAGCGTGAAGGCTCTGACGGCCAAGCTGAAGCTGCAGACGAGGAGGCCGTCTTATCTGGAGTGGACGGCCCGAGTGCAGAGCCCGTCCTGGAGGAGCGGGGGGAAGGAGGGAAGCATCGGCCTGCTGAAGGAGGAGCAGGGCGGAGAGGGGAACCCGGCCGACGCGCCATCCAGGAGCATCTGTGGGTTCGGCACCATGGAGGATGCCCTGGCGTGGCTGAGGAAGGAGCTGGTGAGTACCCCACGGTGGGCGCACGGGCCGCTATGGGAGAGCAGGAAGGGACAGAGAAGCCAGGAGAGAGAATCCTAGAGCACTAGACCTGGAAGGGGCCTCGAGAGGTCACGAAGTCCAGTCCCCTGCCTCATGGCAGGACCAAGCACCGTCCGGACCAGTGTTTCTCAACCTTTTTTATAAAAGTCCCCCCAGTACCTACAGTTTTCAGACACAATTTTTTTCTATTGTTGCAACACATTTGTTTAAACAACTTAATCGTAGCCAGGCGGGTGATGAAATTTGGGTGTAAAAAGTACAAAAATACTAAAGCGCTGTAAAACTTAAAAGAAAAATTCCGTTTTCTCCACGTTTCAGTGGTGTTGATGTTCCCCCCAGACTTCTCTCGAGTACCTCTGAGGGTCCTCGTACCACGGGTTGAGAACGCTGGTCTACACCATCCCTGATAGACATCCAGCCAACCTCCAGCCAACTTCCTCTTCCGTATCTTCAGTGATGGAGAGTCCACAACCTCCCTGGGCAATTTATTCCCCTGTTGAATCAGATCTTAACCCATTATCCCAGGCTCTGCAGCCGCGGGGATCTCAGGCTTGGGAGCTCAGGTTGACAGCCCCTAACGGGAAACAAGACCAAAAGAACAGCTGGGAAAAGGGGAGGGAGGATGAGGGAGCTTCTGCCACGGGCTGGCTGCTCAGCCTCTGTCACCTCCATGGCTCAGAAACGTGGGCTGTAAAGGGGGCCCTAGGCAGGTTTGTTCTCTGTCACCCGGCTTTCCTCAGCCCTCCGCACCCTGAGCAGGGCTGGGAGGGGCGGTCATGAGGCGCTGCCTGTGCTCTGCCTGCTCAGGCTGTTCCCGGCAGCCCTTGTGGAGTGCGGCTGTGTGTTCGTCTGTTTGTCCCCCGCTCGGCCCACGCAGCTTGCACACCTCCGTCTTTCTGGCTGCCTGCGCGTCTCGGGATGTTTGTGCCTCTGCATTTGGGGAGCTGTCTAGTGGCACGTCCCTATGTCTGTACATGTCTGTGTGTCTCTACCTCTGTCCAGATTTCTCCGGAGGGGAGGGGAGTCTGCCGCTGTCTATGCACCTCTGCCTAGTTGTGTGTCTGCCTCTCTCTCTGTCCAAGGGTCTTTCTCTCTGCTGGGTGTCTGGGTGTCTCGGTTTGTGCTTTTCTGGGAGTCTGTCTGTGTGTCCGCCTGTCTCGGTGTGTGCATCTCTGTCCGAGTGTCTATTGCTGTGTCTCCACAGGGACGGCTACGCAGCCCTGAGCCCCGGTTGTGCAGCTCAGGCTATCGTGCTAAAATCAGCCGGGCAGGCACGGCCGCTTGGGCGCTTACGCCCACCCCTTCCCGGGGCTTCCACCCTGGGGCCCCAGCCTGGACACCTCTCCCCAGCTCAT